GTTGTATGAGTCGCATTCATCCAAATCACTCACCTTTCCGGAGCCTCCACAGGACCCCTTCTTTACACACAGCCTGAACTGACCAAATCCCCAAATATAGTTTGTACATGTGCATTTTAAGAGGGTAAAATTCTCCCATGTTTTAAGTTGGAAGTTGACATAACTAGAGGAAATTTGTCTCTTAGTGACCAGGTAGGCAGATAAACAGAATCAGAGGCCTTAAGTTTTCTCTGAATTAATTTCACCCGTGAGAGGGAAGTAGCATAAACTCTTTTGGGATGGAGGAAGGAAGAGAAGCATTTGGCAAATATCCTCTTCTGCTTACTCATTATTCACTGGCTCAAGAGAAGTGACACTCTGTGTCCCCACTCTGTGACAATTCAACATGCCCACCCTTGCATCAACAAATCAGATCAATCAGGTGGCAATTGTTCATTCTGCAAAATTAAAGTTATCCTTTGTTTTCTCTGAGGAAGCCTTACACATTCCCTTCTCATGTTTTCATCAACCTCAATGCAAACAGACCATTCTTAAAGAGATTATAGAAATGAGAATACCAAATGCAATTTAGTAATTCCTTCCATCTTCTTGGTTGCTTTTTGGGGGGGGGGGTTAAAAGTGACTTTCCTGATCTCTTCTATTCTTTCTGGATCTTATCCTCTTTTTCTTTCAAAGTTGATCTCAAGCATCCACCTCCTGTATAAATATTTTCCTCATCCCTCCCAGCTGTTAACACCCATGAAATTACTTTGTATACACTTTCTATATACTTTGCATTTAGTTATGTAGCAGGGGTTGAATTGAAGTATAAATCGGGATCACCTGTGCCCAGCACACTTCTGGTGAAACTGGTCATGGTTGAAGGACTTGGGTACTTTGGAATGAAAAAAAACAATTATCTTTATTGGCTTCTGGGAAAGAAGAGCTGTTGACTCAGAGGGATCTTTAAAAGGGAGTAACCCACCCACCCTCTGACTCTGTTTCCCCGGCAGACTCGTGTCAGGATATTCACAACTCTTTTTAGAGGATGAGGGGGATGGGAGAATTCCCTTTTCCCCACCCCAACAGCTTGTCAGCTGCAGGCCATGTGGAAGGTAGCACTGGGGTTCTGCCAGATAAGCTTTAGCCCAGACCTCTGGCTGCCTTTTCTGCTTTGTATTTCTTTGATCCTAGGTGAAAGAACAGTGATCTCAAGATGGATCTCATATGAGAGAGATTCTGGGTTCTTTGGTCAGAGCTGACTGGCAGTCAGTTGGACTGCTTAAGGTTTTGATATTATTGTACATATTTGTATTTGGTATATACTTATGTGTCCATATTATCTCTCCTAATAAAATGGATTGGAGGAGATAATATCCTCCCCCCCCAATTGATAGGGGCAGGCGATAGAATGTACTCCCTTATTCCTGAGGGCAAGAATAGGGACAAGAATGGTTTCATCTTTGTCTTTATCTCCAGTACCTCACTCAATGGCTGGTATATAGTAAGCATTTAATAAATGTTTATTGATTGATTGCTCAATTTACAAAAGCATTCACAATCCTTTTCACAGTAAACATTCTGAGCACAGAAGAGCTAACATTATACAGCACTTCACAAGGTTTATAAAGTGCTTTCTCATTTGAAATATGACCAGTTTATAAAAGAAATCTGATTTCTACAAAACTACTCAGCAATATATCTATAATAAAGTGAGGCACAACTGAATTCTTTTTATAACTGGGAGTTTCTGCATCAGAGAGAAGAATCACCACCAGAGGGAGGAGATTAACCCCTGATTTGCTTTGACAAAAGACACAGACCTGGAAGGAACTGTTTGGCCAGTACAGAGTCAAGTTGAAGTGTAAAATACTTATTAAGCCAACTTTGCAAACTGCATTGTGTCTTGTTTTAAATATCAGCCTCCTGGGATATTATAACAATTACTGTTATAAGTTACTGTATCCTATTCTGAGTCTCCATCAATGTGTGCTTATGAATCTTTGCATTTCATATTTCTTTTGTGTGGAAGAAATTCATTGCTGTCCCATACCTCATTGGTATTGTACACTAAAGACCTTTCTAGTGCCCTCTTTTGAAAAGCCCTAGGAATGAGCCAAACATAAACTTCAAGTAATTTTCCTCCGGGGGACGGGAGTCAGGGTGTGAAGAGCCAAAAAGTATGTGAAAAAGAGCCTAATCCTTCTTATTAGAAGTGACCCCAGATTGAGAACAGAGACTTCATAGCAGCGGGCCTAGCAGTGGGTTCTCATTTTTACAATTGTCTCTAGCATATTGTTTTTCCCAGTAGGATGTAAATTCCTTGAGGGAAGGGACTTTTATTTTTATCTTTTTTATCCCCAGTGGCTAATATAGTACTTGGCACATAGTAGGTACTTAATAAATTCTTTTTGATTAAATTACTAATATGGAAATGTTTTACATGATTGCATTTGTATAACCTATATCAGATTGCTTACCATCTGGGGGAAAGGGGAAGAAGATATAGAGTGTGGAATTCAAAACTTTTAAAAAATGTTTAAAATTGTTTTTACATGTAATTGGGGAAAAATAAAAATTTTTTTCCTAAATACTTTTTGATTAATTGTTTAATTTAGAGAAGGATTCTCAATTATGGGGTCCTTTTCATAGAGAGTCTCCTGAATATATTTGAAATATCCAATTTGCCAAAAAAAAAAATCTGCCTTCAGTACACTTCGTTTTTATTACCACCGTCTCCTAAGGAGTTCAAAGGGCAAGAGGAGTTTATCCAAGTCTCTGATTCTCTTATTCTATCCATTGTCTGATTCTAGATCCATACAGCCATAAATTCCCCACTCAATCCTCTCACTTCTTTACTACTTTCTCCATTTTTTCCCCCACCATAACTTGCTGCTACCAAAGAATCACATTTTCATGGGCAGTTCTATATGTGACCCTTAGCTGGTCTGTACACCTTCTACCCTTCATTACAGGTGGCCTATAAAAGGGGCAGGCTTTCTTACCCTCAGTATTCTAGAATGGTAAGCATTTCACTGAATTAAATGCTCAGGGGAAGACAGCGTATTGGAAGTTACCAATTCTCCTGTCTTGAGAATCATAGATCAACTAATCTATATTTATTGAGTGCTTATTCTGTGCCCTGAAGTCTAATGGGGCAGCTCTAATACCCATTCTGTAGGGATCTGATGTGTCTACCATTGGTGGTTCCCCACCTCAGGTGACACCTGAAAGCAGTGATCCCTGACTCTTCTTAGTAGGCAGCTACAAAAGTTAGGAGAGCACATTGTCCCTGATTTCAAGGAGGTATGTTATGTTAAGAAAAAAGATTAGTTCTTTCTTCCCAGCAAGTACCCATTGATTCACATCCTCTCTTCCAGGTGATGAAAATTTAGCATTTCTCCTCTACAGAGCATTTAACATCCCTCTCCCTTTGAAATCCCAACCATCAAGAGAAAAAAATTAAGCAGGAAAGAGTAGACACTTTTTACTCTTACACATGAAACTTTCCTGTTCAGCAGGATCAGTCTACAAAGCAAGGGTACTAAGGGGCTCAGGAGCAGAGATGCCTTCCTGAGAATGAGGTGTAAGTAAAATAAAGCTGGAGAAGCCAGGTGGAAGCAGAAGCAATTGTGAATGAGGAGCAAAGGGTGATGAAGAGGGAACAAGGGATGGCTGTGGGTGAGTTTGAGGAGCAATGCATTGGAGTCCCCCAAAGGGGCACTCTGGGGAATGGGAATACAAGACTGGGCTGTGCCAAAAGTGGTATGATCATCTATAAAATATTACCATTTGCTTTTATGAGAATATAGATACAAAAATGGGTGCAAAAATCACAATAAATTCTTAAAACTGGTATAGAATCTGGAAAATATTTTAACTTTAAGGAGAGAGAATGGGCTCCACTCAAATCAGGACCTTCCGAGGTCTAAAGCTTACAGTGAATCACAGTTCTCTTTTGGCCACAGATAAGCAGCTGTGTTTTTTGTTTTTTGTTTTTTTTCATTTGTAGCAAAGTCTCAGTTGTCAGAATAAATATTAGCAAATATCAGATAAGCCAAAGTTAATTTCTATTTGGCTGTGCATTCACTAAAATATCTTTTTTTCTTCAACAAAACAAAAAGAGGGGACATGATACAAGGGAAAAAGCACAGGTACTGGTAGATGATTATTAGCTTTTGGCAAGTCATTTAATGTTTCTGGGCCTCGGTTTTCTCATGCAAAATGAAGGGGTTTGACTAATTGACCTCTGAGGTCTCTTCACACTCTAGATCAACGATCTAATGATCCTTCTTCATAATGCCTGGAAATTTGGAGGGAGGGAGATATGGAGTGGTAAGATAGCACAGAATAAAAAAATGTAAGCTGCCTAAAGATAAACTTTGGAGACAAAACTCTCCAAAAGAGGGCAGTAGGAAAACAACAAGTGGAAGAATATGAGCTGTTAAAAAGAGTTCCTTACCTCCAGCTCTTTACCTGGAAGATGGTTAAAAAAAAAAATCACAAAATACAAGCCACACTTGCTTGGCTTAAAATCACAGAATCATGGGATATCAAAGCTGGCCATGACTTGCCCAGTGTCACATAGCTAGTTATTGGCAGGGCCAGGACTAGCCCTCGTAAGCCTAGTGCTTATCAAAATCTGGTTTGCTGATAAATGTTCTACATGGGCCTCCCTCCCAGTTACCTAGCCTCCTACATAGGTCAGGCATGTCCATTCCATACAGTCTTCCTTACCTCCCGGAAGGACAGGAGACTTGGCTTCCTGTCCAAAATGGCTGGGTCTCCTTCTATGTGTTCATATAGCTGTGGCCCTGTTTTAAAAACTCCTTGTAGGATAGGAAAGCTGGAAGGTCCCACTGTTATCCCAGCCTTTGGGGAGACACTATCCGACAGAGTCCCAGAGGCTGGAGGGGAGAGGAAAGAGGAAAGGGAAAGGTGCCATGTGGCACCTTCTGGGAGGCCAGAAGGGTCCCAGACCAGGGGAGGAGCAAGGGGACCGGTTGGAGCGCGCTCTCTACCTTGGAAGTGTCCGTGACATTGGCTGTCATCAGTGCTCCAGAGACGAGCAGTGCCATCCTCGCTGCCCGTCAGCAGCCGTCGGCCGTCGGGGCTCAGGCTGAGCCAGTTGATGCCTCCTCTGTGATCTGTGCAGACCCTCAAGGCGGAGCCATTGCCCCCCATTCTGCCACTCTAAGGGCGGAGTCCCAAGAAGGAGACCCCCTCTAGGGAGGGGCTCCCCAGCCAAAGGAAGGCAGGTTCCCCCAGAAACTGCCTGCAGACATCACCTTAGGAATTACACTCCAAGAGCCTGCAAAAGGTATTCATGTGTACATGAGGGCACAAACAAAGCATTCTCAGCCCTGCAGAAGCACCCCTGTTCCAAACAAGAGCATTCCCCCTAATCTAGTCCCTCTTATCTTACACTCTTACCCCCTTAAAAAAAAAAACTCAAGAGAAAAAGTCAGCTCAAGTGATTGAATATAGACATCAAAAGTGGACACAGAAAAATGAGATTTCACCCCCCTCACCCTCTTCCTCTGCCCCTCACACCAGTTCGTTTAGGACTGCAATTCATTGCATGGAGAATAACCAAACCCCTCCCCCATCTCCCAGCTCCCTACACTTCTCCCTCCTTTTTACCCAGGAGGAAATTCCCTCTACAGGACATATTCCCTGTTGGGGATGCCGCACGCCCCTCCCCGACTTTAGTTGAACCCACTGTCACCCTTCCACAGCTACCAAAGCACTAACCTTGGACCATAGGATTTCCACCCCAGGACCCTAAGAAGTCCCATGAGAGGTGATTAACCCAAACTCCGCACCTCCCCTTACCACCTCCAGCCACACCGTCCGCCCCAAGGTACACCTAAAACCAAAGCCAAAGAGAAAGCTTCCAGCCTCATCCCAAGGTGCATCAAACTCACTGACCTGCCTAGAGCCCGTGGGGGTGATGGGGGTCTTTTCCTTTAAACTCCCCTAAGCCCCTACTCCTCTCTCAACTCACAATTACTCGTTGTGGAGGGCAATAGAACAATAAAGTGCAGACTGGCTCCTCCTAGGAGACCACCCCTCAACCTGTCCCCTCCCACTTTTCCGGGACTGCTTCCCCACCCCTATCCCTTACTTCCCAGCTTCCTCGCTCTTGTGGTTCTCAGTCTCCCTAGAGGACCCAACTCCTCCCCACTCCCTCCCCACGCCTTCCCCTTCCTCCGGTGCCAGCCTTAACTCACCTTTGCCTGGGACCCCCAATCGCTCCCTCCTTCCTTGCTCCTTTCTACGCGCTCTCCTTCCCTCTCCGCCTCCTCCCTTCCCCCGACGAAGGCTCCACGTGGAAACTTTCCCCGACCGCTCCGACCCTTCCAGGCCACTCCAGCCCAGACTCCAGGCAGCACCCCCACCCTCTCACCTTCCCCAAAGGCTGGGAGGGGAGAGGAAGACTGAAGGAGGAAAGGGCAGGGGGGAAAACTGGTCCTCCTGTCCCCGGGGAGGGGGAGAATTTCACCCCTCCAAGGGCAGCTAAACTGAAACCCTAGCCACACCCCCTCCTGCCCTAGGGAGTTCGGGGGAGGAGGACGGGCAGCCTCGGTTAGGCAACACACACACACTTTCGCACATATACACGGGCAGCCTCGGATTAGGCAATACACACACATTTTCTTATATATACACACTTAACTGCGTTACATCCAGACTGGAGCGCTTACTGGGGAGGCCGGGAACTGGAGAGGAAAAGGTTATTCTTTAGGATTAAATCCTAAATTCGCTTCCAAAGTGAAATCGACCCCCTCTTCCTCCCCTCAAATAAGGCATAAACCCCGAATGGTGAGGTACAGTCCCCCGAATGGTGAGGTACAGTCCCCCGAAGAGGAAGTTTTTTCAGAGTTTGGGGCTACATACTGTATGAACTCCACCTTTGGAGAACTGGAGTGGAGGGAAGGCGCGAGCTGCTAGTTAGCTGTATGACCTTGGGCAAATCACTGCATATTTCTGAGTCTCATCCGTTAACACTAGGAGTTTGGACTAGTTCAGCGGTTCTCAAACTTTTGATCTGAGGACCTGTTACACTCTTCAAAATTGTTGACCACGCCCCCCCAAGTTTTTGTGGGTTATGTTTTTCTGTATTTGTTGCATTAGAAATTAACCCAGGGATCCCTGGACCACTCTTTGAGAACTGCTAGACTTGGTGATCTCCACGGTCCTTCCAACCCCCAGCACAGACTGGCTGTTAAATTCCTGCTTTCCAGGGAGGACTTGGGACGATTACTTTAGTTACAGGACGAGCAGAGCAGTGCCTAAGATTGGGTTACCAGTGTAGGCATACAGGCTCGTCTTGAAATCAAGAATCAAGCAGGAGCTCCTGGCACCCAGGTCTTTTGTTAGAACTTCCCCCACCCCCCGTGGCTGCTGATACTTCTCCTCCTCCTCCCTCCCTCCCTTTCTTCCCCCCCCCCCCCCCCCAAGACTTCAAGCTCCATTTGATCTGCCCGCTGAGGTCTCTGCAGGAATCCTAAAACCCGGCCACTTGAACCCTCTCCCAGAGCTTCTTTCCCCTGTTTCTTATTAATTCAGCGGTTCAGGAGCTCAGCTCAGTCCATCAACTCAGCAGGCAAGGGAGGATGGAGGAAGGGGGAGGGGAGCGGCGAGTAGATAGGTGGGGAGGAGTTGACCCGATCGCCTCAGGATCCCTCTAGGTCCTAAAGGTAGCAAGATTTTCCAAATCCTTTCTTACCCCTTCCCAAAAATCTAGAACGTAGAGAATGGCCTAATGACTCCATCAAATGGCCGGGTTAACTTCTCTCCCCTAGAGAAGGTGCTCATACCTCCTCAAAAGATGATCTTATGGCAAGGTTCCATTGGTCACTGAAGCTAACCTGGCACATAAGGAGCTCAAAAGGAAAGAGGAATTACTCAGCAAGTCTTAATTAAAAGGTACCTATCGCTTGTTAAGTGCAACGGGAGGGGTAGGATTTGAATCCAACCTTGTAGAAGTCTACAATATTGTTGGTGAGATAAGAGTAATTCTCCACTCTATCATTTATATTGGGTCATCTTTCCCCTCCTTTCCATTCTTATTGCCATCACTCTAATAGAGGACCTATTTACCTCTTGCCTAGATCAGTGCCTTCCAATCTGACTTCCTTGATTTCATTCTACTTCCCTGATTTCATTTACCTTCCCTGATTTCCTTCTATCCTTTCACATACTATGCTTTTTTTTTTTGGTACCCATCATGCCTTAAATGGTATCACCTGGTGAAATTCTTCTCCCTTCCTTCAAGGACTAGATCAGGTGCCTTATTCTCCATAAATGCTTTCCTGATTTCTCCAGGTATAAATCCTCCTTTTTCAAATCTCTCATACCAAATACTTTTTGAACATCTTTACACTTATAGTAATTTGTATATTTGTCTTACTCCTACCCCAACCCCACTAAATTGTAAACTCCAAGATAGATGGCAGGGGGTTGACTTTGCTTCATTTTTATACTATATTTTCAGGTTCTAGTGATTAATACACATTGCACTGAACTGAATTAACACTAGAAGGACTGGAATTTAAGAATACTTCAGAGCGCCAAGCAAATGTTTGCAGCAATTGACAAGAGCATGAGTGGAACAGAGAAGGATACAAAACATCAGTATGATAAAAAGCATTGACCTGGGAGTCGGAAAGTCTTGCTTGTCCCATCCTAATGATCAAACTAACTTCATAACCGAGCAGATCACTTCTCCCTTGATTTTAGGTCCCCCATTTGTCAAATGATTATGTTGGGCTAGAAACTAGATGGTCTTGCAATTTGAAACTATGTCCAAAGAGTTGTAGAACTGTGCATACCCTTTGACCCAGCAATACCACTTCTAGGTCTGTATCCCAAAGAGATCATAAAAATAGGAAAAGGACCCACATGTACAAAAATATTTATAGCAGCTCTTTTTGTGGTGGCCAAGTATTAGAAATTGAGGGGGATGCCCATCAATTGAGGAATGACTGAAAAAGTTGTGGTTTATGAATATAATGGAATACTATTGTTCCATAAGAAATGATAAGCCAGCAGACTTCAGGAAAACCTGGAAAGATTTACATGAGCTGATGCTGAGTGAAGTGAACAGAACCAGGAGGACATTATACCCAATAACAGCAACATTGTGTTAGGACCATCTTTGATTGACTTAGCTCTTCCCAGCAATGCAAGGATCTAAGAAAATTCCAAAAGACTCATGATGGAAAATGCTATCCTCATACAGAGAAAGAACTATGGAGTCTGAATGCAAATTGAAGCATACTATTTTCTCTTTCTTTTTTCTCATGGTTTTCCCCTTTGCTTCTAATTCTTTTTTTACAACATGATTAATGTGGAAATGTGTTTAATATGAATGTATATATATAGCCAATATCAAATTGCATGCCATCTTGGGGAGGAGGGAGGGGAAGGAAAGGGAGAAAATTTAGAACTCAAAGTCTTATAGAAGTGAATATTGAAAACAAAATTAATTAATTAAAAAAGAAACTGGATGGTCTTCAGGATCCCTTCTAGTCTAAAACTGGAATTCTAGATTAAACTAAACAAAAACTTTAGAACTGTAGTTGCTTGTAGTGTCCTAGAAAGAGTCTGGAGAGACCAGAGTTCAGATCCTGCCTCCAACACCTAGTTGTGTGACCATGGCCACTTAAGTTTTCTGAACTTCAAAGATAATATTCATAAAGTGTTTAGCCCAGTGCCTGGCTCATAGTAGATGCTTAATAAATATTTTCCTTCCTTCTTCTTTCCCACCTTCCCCCCTCCCTCAATTTCTTCATCTGTAAAATGGGCATAACAAATATGCATAGTTAGGCAAAACAATTCCCCCAATGGCTTCATAAATAACAGGTATGTCTCATTCTGCACCCCAAATCCATCACTACTCTCTAATGAATAGCACATTTCACCTTCAGGGCTTTGGAATTATAAATGGTCATTTTATTGATCATAGTTCTAATTGCTTTCAAAGTTTACAGTGATATTGTATAAATTGTTCTCTTGGTTCTGCTCATTTCATTCCTTGACAGTTTATAAAAGTGCTCAAAATTGTGCATTTTTATGATACTGATGTTATGGTATAAATTTTTTCTGTTCACTTCATTCTGCATTAGTTCATATGTCTTTCCATATATTTTTAAACCTTCTCTTCTTTCAGCTCCTACAATTCATGGTACTCCATATATATGTGTATATATATATATATATATATGTATTATATATATGATATGTCTGTCTATCTATCTCACTTATTCAACTCTTTATTGGGCACCCTCTTGGTTTCCAGTTTTTTGTTTCCACAAAAAGAGTTGCTATAAAGATTTTTGTACATAAAATTCTTTTCCTTAAAACAATTTGTAACTGTTTTAATAAACAAAGATTGATCGATGGAACAAGTTAGATATACAACATGCAGAAGCAAATTCATCTAATACTCTAGTATTTGACAAATGCAAAGACAGATGCTATTGTGATAAGGACTCAATATCTGACAAAAACTTCTTGGAAAACTGGACAGCAGTATGGAAGAAATTAGATTTAGACTAACAACTCACACCTTATACAAAGAAGGCTCCAAATGGGCATTTGACCTAAATATAAAAGGTAACACCATAAACAAATTAGAGAAACCTGCAAAAAATATCTATCAGACCTATGGATAAGAGAAAAGTTCATGACAAAACAATGTATAGAGAGGATCACGGAAGATAAAATAGATAATTTTAATTACATAAAATTAAAATTTTTTTGCACAAATGAACCTAATAAAGCTAAAATTAAAAGGGAAACAACTGGGGAATTTTTTTTTGCAGTAAATTTCCCTGATGAAGGGTCTCATTTCTAAGATATATAAGGAATTCATGCAAATTTATAAGAAAAACATCCATTTCCCAATTAACATCTAAAGACATAAACAGGCAGTTCTCAAGGGAAGAGACTCAGGCTATCTGTAGCTTTGGAAAAATGCCCCAATATTAATTATTGAAATGCAAATTACAGCAATTTTGAGATTTCACTTCACACCCATCAGAGTAGCAAAGATGACAAAAAAGGAAAAGAATAAATGTTGGAGGGGCTGGGGAAAAACAGTCACACTGATGCGATTGGCTGGACCTGTGAATGGGTACAATCATTTAGGAAAGCAATTTAAAATTATACACAAAACAGTGCATGCTGTTTGACCCAGCTATACCACTATATTTGGCTTATACCCAAAAGAGATCAAAGAAAGAGAAACTGCCCCCCATTCAATGCCAGTCCCCCTTTCCTTCAGACCTAGTCCAGTCCCACCCCCCACCCCCCCACCCCCACACACATACAATGATGTTCCTTTCTTCTTTAGTTCTCTGCCTGGGAGCTGCTAGAGACTCTCACTGTAGGTCCAGGCAAGACCACTTCCGTTCTCCTTAACACGCATCTCCTCTGCAGTGGCATTGGAGCTGTGAGCAAGGTGAAGGGCTGTTGCTTGTTACCGCA